TATATAAAATCAATAAAATGCAGCAAAATATTATAAAGAAAATAATATTTGCAGTCTAACTATTTCTAACGTCTCATTTTTTTTTTTGCAGTAATAACAACGATATTTTGGTGTGCCTCAACGGTGAGAGCGAATATTCTATACAGTATGTATGTACATGATTTCCTTAAGTTTTTTTTTAGTAATTTATATATACTTCCTGTTATTCGAAATTTCTTGATACATATGTGTTTTTATTTCATAATTTTTTTTTTATTTTAAGAAAGCACAGAAAGGCAATTTTCGTTTGACACAAGCAAACTTTCTTCTATTTTTGGCGGATATGAAATGCAGCTGTCAGTTGCGCTTGTAATTCCCAGGCAAATAAATGTTAGGAGTGGTGCTCGTAAAAAATGTGGAACAAAAAAGAAAAATTTCGAAGAAAAATTACACATTGGAGGCCTAAGAACCGAAGAAAAAGCACACAAGTCTTTCTTTTTTGGACACATATTCTACATACATATGTCTTTTAAATGAAAGTAGAGAGATAGAGGGAGAATATCTTTAGAGGGAGAGAGAGAGAGAGACCATAAAGGGATGGCCGCTCAAAGCCTCCTGCTTAATCAGGTGTGTCGGTATGAAGTGAGCGGTAGGCTACAAATATGTTGGTAGGGAATATTTGTTGTGCACGAACTTAAATTTTTTTCAGTTTGGTTTTTTAGAACGCGTTATTGCTCAGAAATGTGGCCATAATTCCGAAATCTTAATGAGGTGATTTAAATTTTACACATTTACAGTTGTTTACAGCATCATATGATCTAGTGTCAAGTTAATTGACCAAAAAGTGAGGTTAAATCTTTTGGAACAAACTCATAAATTCTTAATAAGGCCAAAAACCTAACATAACCATTACTTGTATCCAATGTGACTCATGAATTTTATAGCCTTGAGTATGAGTACAGAATTTATGATATCTTAAAGTTTAAGACAGACAGTATGGGGTTGAAGACGTGAAAGATGTGAAGAGTTTAAAAATATTTCTTTATTTGGAATTAGAGACTTAGGAAGCTTCTGCTTTTTCGTTGAATATGGCTCAGTCACAGAGTGAGTGAGACAGAGAGCGCGAGAGAAAAAACTATGCAGAAACTATGTTTTAATGGACGAAAAGTGGCTCAGTCGTGAAGTGAGTGAGGTAAAGAGTGAGAAAGAGATAGAAAGTTTTGCAGAAACTACGGTCTAATGACTGAAAAGTGGTTTAAGCCCCGAAAGACCTATTTTTTAATACAAAATTTTCAAGGAAATTAAATTAAGTATTGCTAAGAGACATTTATTTTAAATAAGAACTCCATTTCCAAGCCATTACAGAATAAATA